CGTATACAGCAGTCTATGTGAACGGAGATAGTGAGATTGCGAAGGGGGAAGCTTAACTAAATGGCGGTTTCCCTCACAGGCACCAGGGGTGTCTTAACACCTAGCATATCCACAAAACTGCCAAACAGAACATTCACCCACAGGCACATTGAGTGGCCCGCTCAGATGCAGCTACCGGGCATGGAGAGACCCAACCTCCCTGAACCACAAGTGGAGGGCCACACGCTAGATTCCCCCCCCCCATCTGTGTTTAGCCTAAGACCACAGATCGGGAGGCCTCCTAACCCACCACTTACCAGTTACCCAAACACACATGACACCTGAGGCAAAACGACACACCAACCCAGGTCCAGCCCACATGTACCCATGACACATGCCAACATAGACCCCACCAATATGACATACCACAAACTACAACCTAGGACGTCATAATGCATATGTTAAAGCACAAGTAATGTTGTTGAACTATAGACCTACTAACCAATTACCTCAATAATGTAACCAAGATGTATTTTGTGTGTGTAAAACTCAATAAAATACAAATAAAAAATAAAATAAAAAAATTGCCACTGAACCTGGAGAGTATGCCAGTAAAAGATTTACTTGATGTGTTTCACGGTTCAGATTCCAAGTCACATATTGCTTCCCATTATACTCTATGGGCATTCCATTGAGTCATTCACCTATCATTCCATAGAAAAGAGGTATAATCCCCATTACTTTTCATTTTACAATCTGCTGCTGTACTTGGGGAACACCTGTGGTAAAGTTACACATATTTGCCTGCAAATGAGTTTATGTTTTGCTTCCCATTATACTCTATGGGCATTCTCTTTAGTCATTCACCCTTGTCATTCCATAGAAAACAATGATAATCCCACTTAATCTCAATTTTTAAAATTGCCCCTGAACTTGGAGAGTATGCCAGCAAAATATTTATTTGATATGTCTAATAGTTCTGTCTCTAATTCAAATAGTGTTTTCATTATTCTCTATTGACATTCCTTTCAGCTCCTTTATTGCCTATGGGCATTCCATATTGTCATTCCTTTTAGTAGCTCTCCCTGGAAATCCTGTCCAGCAGTTAACAGAGGCTGCAGCATCATTTCTCCATTCAGTAGCACAGTGCAGTAAAACTACAGTAGGGGGCTTTCGCATTGAGTGCAGGCCACAGTCCTGACAGAGATCACTAATCTGTGCTATAATATTTAATCCAAGGTTATGGGTGAAATCCATTTAAACAGTTTATATAAATGGCCTAATTCAACATTAACATGCAACCCCAGTAAAACTCTCAAGCCCTAGAGAAGTGAGAACAAGGAGGGGAGAGGGCAGAATAAGGTAGAAACACAATAACATAGAAACACAGGTGTACATAGTACAGAAGCACAGCAAGAACAAACAGCAAAGTATATAAAAAGTATAATCGAGAAACAACCTCAAAAAGGGCAAAAGAAACAAAGTAATGGAGAAGAGAAATACTCTGACATGTCTGCTTGATGGAGCAGCAAAGAAAGAGGAAGTGATTAGGTCATTATACCTCATGTACATCATTCTCTCTTGTGATTGGTTCTTTTTTTTCTATGTGTTTCTTTGTTGCTGTGTAAAGTTAGTAAAGAGAGATTATGCAAAATATGAAGCCTAGTGTCATGTTGTAAAATTCACTAAACAGAGCATTAACAAATGTGGCAAAGGCATTATAAATACGAGCGTGATAACACAAAAAAGAAATAATAAGAAGTCGGTACTAATGATGTCATGGACCATGCCTAGACAAACAAATATATTTTATCTAAACATTACCGACCTATAAAGCATCATCTCTGTACTACATTATATTATAAGTGCCCTTGTTCACATCAATAGCGTTGCAGTACTGAAACCAAACCCAGTGTTGTCACAGATGCTTATGATGTCATGGACCAAGACTACAGAAAGTCAGCTCAGCTCAGTTTTTATTAGATGGCACAGGCAGCAAGATAGACAGGCAGCATTTAACTGATTAAGAAAAAAACAAAAAAGAAATAAGAAATAGGTACTACATTTGCTCTATGTCCGTTTTGGCCTAAAATGTGAAACTCCATAGATCATTCTTCTCATGATCTTAGGTAAATGTGTTTGTCTGGAGTGAATTTGTGATGGGATTTACTGTATGTATGCACTCTGTATGTGTGTGTGTATTCAGCAGTCTGTCTGTGTGTACTCAGCAGTCTGTGTGTGTGTGTGTACTCCGCAGTCTGTGTGAGTGTACTCCGCAGTCGGTATGAGTGTATATTTAGCAGTCGGTGTGTGCGTGTATTCAGCAGTCTGTGTGTGAATGTGTTCAGTGGTTTGTGTGTGTGTATGTATTGTATGTATGTATTGCATTTGTTGGAGGTACCAATAAATATCAGCTTAATTGTATCGATAATCTATAAAGTTGTTGTGTAGGAAGGGCCCTAGTGTACTGCTTGCCCGGTGGGCCCATTACACTGTTAAGATGGCACTGCTTGTGTGTGTCAGTGAGCTTGTCTGTAGTGAGATTGTGTGTGTCAGGGAGCTTGTATTTAGTGAGCTTGTGTGTGTGTGTGTGTGTGTCAGTGAGCTTGTATGTAGTGAGCTAGTGTGTCAGTAAGCTTGTCTGTAGTGATCTAGTGTGTCAGTGAGCTTGTCTGTAGTGAGCTTGTGTGTCTCAGTGAGCTTGTATTTAATGAGATTGTGTGTGTCAGTGAGCTTGTCTGTAGTGAGCTTGTGTGTCTCAGTGAGCTTGTGTGTGGCAGTGAACTTGTATTTAATGAGCATGTGTGTGTCAGTGAGTTTGCCTGTAGTAAGCTTGTGTGTGTCACTGAGTTTGTTTGTAGTAAGCTTGTGTGTGAGTCAGAGTTTTGTCTGTCAGTGAACTTGTCTGTCTTTGAGCCTGTGTATCAGCGAGTTTGTGTGCTTGCTGTATAATTATATATATATATATATATATATATATATATATATATATATTAGACTTATAGGGCTGGTGCGCTTTACCACCAAATCACCTGTGTGAGCTGCCGCACACTTAAGTCTGGGAGCTGCTGTTAACAGGTACTAGTAGTCTAGAGATTGAAACATAGGGTATTATGCACAGCTATCTGTATAATACTTTAATGCTGCTCTCTGTATAATACAGGTTTGTGTGTATAATATCCTGGGACAGTCAGTGCTCCCTGTATTTATAATACAGGTCTGTTTGTATATAATATCCCAGGACAGTCAGTGCTCCCTGTATAGTGCTGCACTCTGTATAATACAGTTCTGAGTGTGTATAATATGCTGGAATAGTCAGTGATCCCTGTATAGTCCTGTATCTGTATAATACAAGTCTGTGTGTGTATATTGTAACGGACCTATCCGGATTTGACGTCATTTCTGGTTCCTGTTCAGGCTCCTCCCAGCCCGGCCCCGAATATCCTGTTAACTGACCTTTTGTTTAGTAAAAAGTTGTCCCCATCTCCTTGTCTCACTACCCCTAGGCCGGAACTTAATATTAAACAATCTCACTGAAGCCCTGTATTAACCCGACAGATGACTGGTACCCTCCAACCTCGATATTACCAAATGCCTCTCCGACTTACACCGGGCCCAACACACGTTGACGATAATGGTCAATTGCAACATGCAGACCCTGTATTTGTTTATGTTCCTTTCACTACGACTGACTTATTTAATTGGAAGACACATAATTCTTCATACACTGATAAGCCTCAATCCATGACAGATTTGGTTGCCTCGATCATACAAACCCACAATCCTACTTGGGCTGATTGCCAGCAATTATTATTGACTTTATTTAATAATGAGGAAAGGACTCGGATCAATCAAGCTGCTATTAAAGCGCTTGAGGAAGCGGCCCGTGTACAGAACCAGGCCAATCCGGCTGCATGGGCTGCAGCCCATTACCCAAATGTGGATCCGAATTGGAATGTTAATGGCGCTGATATGCCCCATTTAAGAGCTTATATGGAAGCCATTATTGCTGGCATGAAGGCAGGAGGGAAAAAAGGCAATCAATATGTCAAAGACGGCTGAGGTGCTGCAGAAAACTGACGAGTCACCTAGTGCCTTTTATGAAAGATTACTGGAGGCATACAGATTGTATACTCCTTTTAATACAGAGGCTCCTGAGAATTCCTGAATGGTCAATTCAGCCTTTGTCAGCCAGGCCCAAGGTGATATTAAAAGGAAATTGCAGAAGTTAGAGGGATTTGTAGGGATGTGCTAGCGGTAGCTATTGCTAGTGTAGAGAGACCGGGAAGGGAGATGAATAGAGGAGTTGAAAACAGGTTGAGTAGGGGACCACTAAGCAGGAATCAGTGTGCATATTGTAGGGAGGAAGGACATTGGAGGAAGGAATGCCCGCAGAGAGAGCAGTATGAAAATGACCGACAAGAAGAGAGAAGAGTGCGGGAGGTTATGGTGGTAATTATAGAGGAAGAGGAAGAGGATGTTTTGGAGGAAATAGTGGGAATAATAGAGGAAGTGTTCAAGGGGACAGATATTATCCACCCATGCAGAGACCTAGAGAAAGAGAGGATAGAGATTTTGTGGGTCTGGCTGACACTGTCATGGAGGACTATTGATAACGACCGGGCTCCATCCCCCTTGGCCGAGCAGAGCCTATGGTCGATGTAGGAATAGGGGGAAAGAGAAGACCTTTCATGATCGATACTGGGGCTGAACATTCTGTGGTGACTAAATTAGTTGCTCCTCCATCAGGAAAAAGCATTACAGTAATAGGAGCAACTGGGAAGAGCACTGCTAGACCGGTTCTTAAGAGTCGCACTTGCATTCTGGGAGGCCATTTGGTGAAGCACCAATTTCTATATATGCCTGAGTGTCCAATCCAACTTCTGGGATGAGATGTATTATCAAAGCTTCAAGCCCAGATAACCTTTTTACCCAATGGATCGACATCCCTGAAGTTTAATGGATCATCGGGCATAATGGCGATTTCGGTGCCCAGGGAAAAAGAATGGCGCTTCTATACTATAATGACAAGTGTAAATCCTAAGAGTGATGAATCCCTATTTGACATTCCAGGAGTATGGGCAGAAAATAATCCACCAGGGCTTGCCTGTAATATTCCACCTATACTTATTGAGTTGAAGCTTGGGGCCTATCCCGTGAGTCTACGACAGTATCATATACCCCAAAAGGCAAAGAGAAACATACAGACCTACTTGGATAAGTTCGTAAGGTATGGTATCCTAAAATTCTGTACTTCCCCCTGGAATACTCCATTGTTACCTGTTCAGAAGCCAGGATCAGATGAGTGTCGTCCTGTACAAGATTTAAGAGCAGTTAATGATGCGGTAGTTAATATACACCCAGTTGTACCCAACCCTTCTAATCTGCTTGCCTTGTTACCAGGTGGGGCAACTTATTTTACAGTCTTAGACCTCAAGGATGCTTTCTTTTGTCTTCGAATTGCTGCGTAAAGTCAGTGTATCTTTGCCTTCCAATGGGAAGATGCTGTTACGGGTTCAAAGCGACAGATGACTTGGACTAGATTACCTCAAGGGTTCAAGAATTCACCCACCCTATTTGGATCCCCATTAAGCCAGGACCTGCAAGATTTCAAGTCCATCCCACGAGAATGTTTATTACTTCAGTATGTGGATGATTTGTTGATAGCGGCAATTACTAAAGAGATATGCCAACAAGCAACTTATGATCTACTTCAAATTCTCTGGAAGGCAGGATACAAAGTATCTAGGAAGAAAGCGCAATTGTGCCAGTCAACTGTCAAGTATTTAGGATTCCATATCTCTGAAGGTCAAAGGATAATGGGACCCGAAAGGAAAGAAGCGGTATGTCAGATACCGATACCTAAGAATAGAAGATAGGTGCGAGAATTCTTAGAAGCAGCAGGATTCTGCAGGATATGGATTCCTAATTACGCGATATTGGCGAAACCCTTATAAGGAGCTATAAAGGGCACAGAACATGACCCCTTCCTATGGACCACTGAACAGCAGAAGGCATTTGAGGATATCAAGAAAGCACTAATGAGTGCCCCGGCCCTAGGTCTACCTGATCATACACGTCCATTCTATCTGTGATCTCCCCTGCCGGCCTCGGCCCACGGCCATCGCGGCCCACCGGGCATTTGCCCGGTATGCCCGATGGCCAGTCCGGGCCTGATAGTTGCATTAAGACTACTAAGACAGGTAATCAAATATCCCAAACTCTTATTTGGCACTCACAGTATGAATGTAAGGGATCTGTATCTAAATGTAGATATTTGGATATTTATTACAGTGTGTGTCACCCAGTAGAGGGAGAGTCTAAATGTTTTGATCCCCAATTCCAACCCCGTACAATTTGGTTGGTAATTCGGAAAAGCAACTCTCAGGGGACCTTGATAAATAGGACGGTGATAAATACCACACATTCTACGGGTATTCTACTATTTGATGCATGTAAGGCGATCTCGGGTAGTGGAAAACCTTGGAATGTATGTGGCAATTTAAAGTGGGAATGAACTTATGGGTTCAATGACAAATATTTATGTCCCAGTAAAAGATCTACTGATCCTGATTGCCCAAACAGAGATTTTAATTTCTGTCCATATTGGTCTTGTGTGGGGTGGGCAACCTGGGGTAAAACAGTAGACCAAGATATGATTATCCAAAGGTTGCCTACCACACCATATTGTAAGTCTATGGAGTGTAATCCAGTTCATATGACCATTTCTAATCCGCAATACTTCATAGACAAGTTCGGAAATCTATTTGGATTCCAAATATACGGAACAGGGTTGGATGCTAAAAGAATATGCTAAGGATGCTTGTGAGGTCTGTTCTGGTTCATGGCTATTTGAGAGGTGTTGGCAAACTATAATTGGTGATGCATCTGGAATTATTTTAAATCAGAAGCATCAAAGTGGGGAATGTGATGGAATTCCAGTAAAATAAAAGTTTAGTAGGCCAAGATTGCCACGTGGCATATGTAGGTACATGTGTTTGTAGTATCAGTTAGTTAGTTACACGTAGCTAAGATACTGTCATCAATGTACTGAGCATGTGCAGGAATGCAGGAACTGGAATTACACTCCCTTCTCCTTTGTTTCAAGATGAGCCACATGGTTAGACCGGATGGACGAGTTTAGACTCTGTTCATTGATTGGTTAAGGGTATGTGTGGGCGTAGCTAATTATGGGAGGAGCTATATTGCTATATAATGAATGTACTCTATGTGTTTAGGGCTCAGATATTTTTGGAATAGGAGTTCCAAACATCTTTGTGTTTGGCTTCTGCACGCTTCCACGGTTACAATGGACCATGCCTAAACAAATCCAGCACAGCAAAGCTCTACAGCAGTTTTTATTAGATGGCACAGGCAGCAAGATACACACTCAGCATTTAACTGCTTAAGAAATAAACTGTTTTAAATAGAAATTCACTAAACAAAGCATTAACAAACATGGCAAAGGCGTTATAATCCGAGCATGATAACACAAAAAAGAAATAATAGCAAATTGGGACTACATTTCCTCTATGTCAGTCTTTGCCTATAATGTGAAACTATATAGATAATTCTACTCATGATCTTAAAGATGCACAAACCCTGTGCCTGAAGAAACTTGAAATCAGTTGGGTATCTGAAAAATCACATACACCTTGATATTGTGTTACTAGACTTCATAAATTGATTCTGCCTAAAATTTTATCTGTCCCTCTGTGTCAATTTCACATGATGCCTTGTCCTGATTGTCATACTCTCAGTAAAGGCAAATGTGTTTATTTGGAGTGTCGAAATACAAAAACTGCATTGTAGAAGCTTGTAAAATGTGCAAATTGGAAATATTCTCCAAACCAGCAGTCAGTAGTTGGACCTAGATAAATCAGTGCACTAAAAATCTTAATCCCCCATTTTACCCCTTATGTGTCTCTTAACCCCCCTTAAACACTTGTGTTGTTCTTAACCCCCTGTTTTAACTCCTTAACCCCCTTTTTTCCCGTGTGCTCCCCAACGCTTTGTGCACACCTATTAAAGTCGTCTTGTAGCTGACAGAATTAGAAGACTAGACTTGCCATATATCCCTCTCCTGGTCTGCAAACATTTGTGTTCAGTAAGGTCAGAGAGGCGGGTATACGGCTTAATGACATACCCCGCTCACATGTTCGCTCTCCAACTGCAGACTTGGCAGAGGGCCAAGCAACGGAAGACAGAAATGTTGAAATGCGTTTTGCATTCATAGTTGTGGGACTGGCATTGTGGCAATATACTTACCTACTTGTAAGAATTTTTATGTTTGTTGAAATACATTTTATTAGCTTGTACTAATCGGTGGTGCTTTCTTCCCTTAATTTAGAGGAATACCCGCTCTGGATCTAATATTTACATCCATGCTGACACATTTGAACTAGTATATTAAGGCCCAATAAAATGTGAGTTTGATACCACAGGACGTTTTGTAAACATCAATTTATTCATCTATGTACAACTTATATTGCTCTATGGTGGTTATGTTTTTCCTTTTCTGTCACTTTGAAAGAAGATTCTATATTGTATATGTATTTTATTTATGCATCATATATTTACTTTTAATTCCCACAAAGTGTATTGTTCACTTATAATGGTGTATTGTTTTATATCATTGGGTGAAATTTAGTGATTGATTTAACGGTGTTACTTGCTGCATTTTGCTTATTTTTGATTAGGGATATTTTAAGGTTTTTAATCTTACCTGACATTCAGCGGTGGGTGAAGCTCCCAGCAAAGATCTCCACTCCCCATCCAACGTCGTCTTGCACTTGCGCTGTCCAATCATAGGTATGGTCCAAATCCTATTTATTTAATGGAGAGAGGCTGGAGGGACCCCACAGTGGCGGTGAAAATATGAGGGATAGCATGCCTACAATTACATCTCTTGCCAACACACATTCTTTTTTTCTTTTTTTATAAAAAGCAGCTTTTAAGAAAATTTGAATACTGTAACACTATAACACTGCAACATTAGTAACACTGACAAAATGTCAAATAGAAAGCTGAGACGGTTTCCTACTTCAAGTTGGCTAACGGGAGCTAGAGGGGAAGGGTTAACAGTGGTTAGGGAGGTTGCTTAACAGGGACTGGGATGGAAGGGGTTAACGGTGGTTAGGGAGGTTGATTAACAGGGACTGGAGGCACAGATATAGCTTTTGTTTTAAGTAGTCTTTATTGGGAGTCAGAATGGTTATTTTTTTAACAGGGGCTAGAGGGGCCAGTGCTGCGTGCTCGTGCGCATGTACAGTAGGCCAGTCATAGTAATAATTCAGTGTTTGATGAATAACTACAATAATCTGCCTCATGCTTACGGATGAGTTATGATAATGATGTTTTGCCTCTTTTACACGATGCTCCAGCAGACGGCACTTTCCATTTTAACAATATATAAAGCTATAGTAGGGGTATCCCTATGCAACTGCTGAAATAAGTTGTATTTCCATTCCAAGAAACCTGATTCCATTTCATCTTTCTAATGCTGTGAATAGCTGCTAGAATTCTGAATTCTCACCGCTACAGAGGGCAGCAATATGAAAAGATTCATTATGAAACACTTCAGAGGCTTAAAGCAAACGTTGGATTATGTCCAATAAACCACAATACGCTCTATTATCTGTGTTTTTGAAAACATACGTTTTGTGGAAAGGTAGTGGTGCTACATTTACAGAATGATTTAAATTTAATTATTTCTTTTTAGTATTTTAAACTTTCTGTCATTCTTTGAAGTGGATGCTGAGCTTTCACAACACGGACTTCAAAAATGCACAGCAGCAATATAACAATGAAACATATTTTAAAATTCGATGATTGCCATACCTTTGGTATGTAAAGTAAAATACAATCAGATGTGTTTACTTATGTAAAACTATAGAAATATACCAAAAGGAAGCACAAATATAAAGAAATAAGACAAACAATAACAATATATATGACATCAACCAAAATGAAAAATAATAAATAAAAAGTTATTATTAAAGAAGTGGAGAAGTACCACTTGTATGACTAAAAAAAAAAAAAATGTGAACGAAGAGGCAGAAAGGCCCACAGTGTACCTGTCAGGTCCCCTACGCTCGCGGCGACCTTGCTTAACTCATCACCGAGAGCGGCATCATCTGGTCCCTGTCTCCAGACTGGCAGTGTGTCTGATGCTGCACGGGAAGAAACTCCTCCCACATGTTGTGGTTAACACTAATTGGAGATTAGCCAATCAGACACACGCTGTGTGTATATAAGCTAA